GCTTCAGCATGGATAAATTCCAGCAACAAAAGTGTAAGACCCTGCAACTTGTAGGAGAGACCTGAGAACAACCCTTACTTAATACCAATGACCAACAGGCTCCGCCCAGTGAGGTACTGGCTCGAAACACCTTGTTCTCAATGTTCAACCATCACAATCTCATTCCAGAGATCAAAGTTGTGAAGCTGGGTGTGAAAACTAACTGACCAACTGTACTCCATCTGATGTAAGATTGGGCCAGAGCACATCAGAAGAAGCCAATAAACCAAAGTGGTTGAGGTTGGGATGCTGCGTAAAGACTCCAATTCCCAATGGCAGAGCAAAACTTCAATGCTGCTGCAATATGCTGAAAATACTGTCTCACGTGATCCAGATATATGAAACACATGATGCCGCACAAACAGGATACTTAAGTCATTTTAGCTTAAAGAAAAAAAACAAACAGAAAGACCAAACACAAGCAGATCCGTGAGCGATAATAAAAAACAAAAACAATACAACCGAACATTACCCCACACACTTTCAAACCTCCACTAAATGCGGTCTGGAGTCTTCCTCCAGATCCCTCAGTCTGACCCCAAACAGACCCCACCTCAAATTCAAACACTGACACGATCATGTTAATGAATGGAATTATTTGCAGAGAAAGCCGTAAAAAGAGGAACATTTTGTGCTTCTCTAAAAGGAATCAGAAACCACTTCCCTTTCACTAAAGGAGAAAGCTGTCCAAGAAACCACATAGTTTCATGAACCAACCCGTGGTGTTTCTCCACAGTTTGATGCTGCAGTAACTCCCACACAGCAATAAGAACGTTCCTCTGGAAAGCCCTGCTACTGAGATTCATGTGCATTCAAATGAAGAATGGTTCAACCCAACTCAATCTGGAATTAAACAACGCCTTTATTTAGTTTTCGTTTGTGATGTTCTTGGAAATGTCATTTAGCAGCGCCGCCAGCAATATTGTCAATAATCTCCCAACCTTCTTGGTGAATTAAACCAAACGACTGCAACTCCTTTCTGTCTAGATATCAGAGAACTTCGAAGAAGTTTACTGTGTTAGCTTATTGATGATCAAGGGGGAAAAGTGGTTTGAAATGTCACATACTAAAATGAAGGGAATGTTTGGTTTAAATGTCACTGTGAGTCTCTGAAAATCCAACACTCAAACTGAAACACCAGTTAGTGTTTAAACGCCTGTAGAGGGATTAACCCGGCCAGGTGGTGAGTCAAACCACAAGCAAATAAAACCAACCCGGCCACTGGCTTTGATCTTCTCCTTCCGGGTTTTGGAGCCACATTTGCATCTTTTTATGGATTTCAACATGTGTGTTTGCACATTTGCATGTGAATGTTTGCAAATATTTGCTCTTTTGATTACATGTGAGTATATTTGTGTTTGCAGCCATGGTTGTGTGCCCAGATGGGCATATGCTCATGTGTGTATGCCGGCCAAGGCGGGAAAGTGATTCCCCTGATGGGCACGACAGATGGGCAGGGAGGGGGCTCGGCTCCGTGTCCCTGCCACCGGACAGGCTCCAGGGTTTGATTTGTGCTGGTATGAAGTTCACATTCACAATTCAGAAACAAGCTGCTTTGTTTTGAATCAGTTTTAGAAAACTAACAAAACCAAGCTAAAGAAACAAACATTTTAAGATTAGTTTGAGCATTGCTCTATGCAAAAGGGATGATTCGCTTACCCAGGACTGGGTCAGAAAGGTGGCGGGCCAAAGAGGGAAGTCCAGACAACCACTTCCCAAAGCCTTCTACAGCCTGAGATTATTTATAAACCATCCAGCAAGTTCTCGGTCCACCATAAACCTAACTCCAATCCAGAAGGGGTCATCCTAATCAGGTGTCTGAAGCGCCTCAGTTGACTCCAATGAGGATGTGCTGTGCTTCAAGCTCCCCATAAATGGCTAGGGTCTTTATCTCTATGGCCACATGACCACAGGTGAACTTCTTCACCACTACAGACCAGAACAACACCCTCATTAATGCAGGTGAAGCTCCAATGGTTTGGTCCATCTCTCATCCTGTCCAACCATCGTCGTGATGCAAAAACTCAATACCAAACCAAAGCCTTTTGCTGCAACAGAACTATTTACAGCTCTAAAGCTGCACTTCCATCCTCATGGCTGCTCGACTTGATTCAACTCAACCCAAACCGGTTAAGGCAACGTTACATTAAGCCGGGCATACACTGTGCGACTTTTTCACTCGCAGCGTTCAGCTTCAGCTCAAACTGTACGACTTCCTCACAGAGCAGATCTCACGAGTCATGTGCTCACACTGTACGACCCAGTTCTCGCATGCAACCTGACTGCTCACACTGTACGTCTGGTAGCAACACGTTGGCCCTAAATATAGGCTAAAAATAGCCGTTTTTACTCAACATGTGACGTCAGACTTTTTTGTCTTGTTTTGCCTGTTGTCCTTCGGGAGTGCTGCAGGAGGACACACAGGGATTTATGGGGGTTGGATGAGTAAAATGAAATAAAGAAAGTAAATCTGTGTTTAGTGATCAGTTTAATTTGACATGAACATGACAAACACGCTTTCTTGACAATCTTTGTGAGTAAAAAAAACATGTAGAAACAAAAACGAACAGCGTGTGTTATTAGGAAAATAGCGGGCGAGCGGTGTTGATGCAGGATTGCGCATGCGCCGTGAGCGGTTCTGATACTTTTTGGGTCGCAGCTGCTCGCAGCGCCGCTTCAACAGTTCGATACCCTCACGAGGGACGAGCGAAATATTAAACACGCCAGAAGTCCGTGCGACCTCACGACTGCTGATCGGCAGCTGGTCACGTGGTGTTAATCGCCTCTCGTAACCCCCTGTACACTACACGACCGCTCGGCGCAAAACTCGCCCTGATGTCGTGGATTCTCGCACGACTGGAAAATCGGCTCAAAAAAGTGAAAAAGTCGCACAGTGTACGCCCGGCTTTACAATTGAGAAAGAGCTCTAGTGGGTGTGCTGGTCATAGCGTGGGGCGTTACATTTTTTAAAGTTTTAAGCAATGTAATAGAAAAAATATGCAACTTTATCTGGCACATTTCCAGTAAAATGCATCTACTCAGTCAATGTGCTTCATGAAGCGCTTTTCATACGAGAGCAGCTCAAAGCGCTTTACAAAATTAAAAAAGAACCCCACAGCAATCAATGTCCCACTCGTTGCCCATAGATAAAATACAAGATCCCTTCTCTACCTGCCTCCCCTTACCCCCAATACTGCCCCACTCTAATAATAGGGCTTTCACATCTGGGTTGGCACAGCCAGCCCGGATAGGTTAATTGTGTTCACATCTGGGTAATCTGTGCATTTTCCGAGCTCAGCTGACCATTTTTTTGGACCTGCTCTCCGGCGGTCCGCTTCTTGCGAGGCTGACTCAACGCACCCACTACCGATTAACTGGCTGGCTGAACTTCATGCCTACCTATAGAGGAAGCCTCTGATAAGCGGGTATAATCAGCCAGCAGCGGCTTCCCGCATGCGCGATTCATTGTCATTCTGGATATGTGGAGTAAACATCTTTTCTGACTGCTGCTTGGACCTTCTGCTCAAGCAGCACAAGGACTGCTGTGAAGAGGACTGCTCGGCAGCGGGCCATCGCTACCAACACCGGGCCAGGCCACGTCAGATGTGAACACACCAGCAGTCTAAGACCAAGCCTAATCCAGTCTAAAGCTATTTCTACTACTCTGATTTCTCATTTTACATGTGGTGTTCCACAGGGGTCATTCCTGGGACTCCTACTCTTTATGATTTAGCAAATTCCCAACTTTTCTGTTTTTAGAAAATGTAAAAGTGTGCTTCACTGTTATGTTGATGACAGTCAGTTCGACCTGATAAACCCAATTATGTACTCTCTACTTCTCCTAAGCGTTACAGTTTAGAAGAGCTTAAGAAGTAATTTACAGAATGTATTTATTATTGATTCCAAGTTCATCCTTTCCGAAACTCCTAGTTTCTTGGTTCCTGTCAAAAGTTTCACAATCACATCCCTTCACTCAAGACTGAATTTTGTTGTTATTTATCTTGAAATCCTCTTTCTTTTAAGATTCCAAATGAATAAAATAGTTACTTTGATATCAAAATAATTTTCAGTTTTTTTAACAAGTTCAGCCCAGAAAATTCTGAGAATTTGTTTGCGCTCAAAAATATTTCTGCCAATTTAGAAAAGAAATACCTTGTCTCCCTCCAGGAATTATAAGTTTAACTCTTCCCTGTTGCTCAATGACTGGGTTTACTGTGACATTTTGTGATTAAATTAACTGTGTTGTAAATCTCTTGAAAAAATAAAATAAAAAGCAATTACTGTAAGCACACGATGTTAGTTACAGCTGCTGGTGAAGGTCCTCAGTCATTCAGGTCATGGTAATCGAAAAGGGTTCAAATGAAGGCAACTGAACTTCTTTGAACAAAGAAGTTCAATTGCAGCTGTTAGCTAATCTATAAATCACATCTAAATCAGTTTTGGGGAGTAAACATAACATTTGGATGGATAATGTTTGGAGCAAATTTAATTTTCATGTTTATAACTTCGGTCAAAAATTATTAAGATAATTTGGCTGCAATTTGAACTCCAAACAAAGATGCTGAGTTCAGTATTATCCACTCAGATGAAACAAAGCAGGTAAAACTGGGTGACAAGGTGGACTAAACCAAAGAAAAGTAAAACCGGGACAAAATCTGGTGTTTATTCATCGATGAGGAGCCAAAGTGTTGCCTTTCTCAGAAATATTCACACAAAGGGTATGCAATTACAGCAGAGAGTAGGAAAATCAAGCCTAAAGGCAACAGTGACTTTAAAAGTCTGATGCATTACAAAAGAATATTGTCCAGAGAAATTTTCTATATCTCTCCTTGCAGAAGAAAAGATGATTATATGTTCTTGTGTCCTTATTTACTGAGAAACCTTGAAAACAGAAAAGTGTCTAAAGCTGAAAAGGCTAATGTGATACCTGCACTTTAAAAGAAAACTAATCTGTGCCTCACCTCTTCATCAGCCTCCTTTGTTATGTCGTGAATGTGTCACAGCAACTCAAACATCCCACGCTGATTTATGAGTAGAAACACGAACACCGAGGCGCTGTTTTGTTGCACAGAGGGACGCAAACTCCTCTTACCTTGGTGGCCAGCTGTCGTCACCTCAGGGTTGTTATTTACATTCGATCCCAGATTTCATTCCGCCTCAGAGGGCTCTGTAAGGAGAACAGAAGATCCTTTACTGTACAGATCTTCACCAACAAGCAGACCAAACAGTCCGCAGAGAGGACCGGCTTAGAGAAGTTACACAAATCCTACAGAGAGCTGCAGCTCTGGTGCAAAGAAATCCACATGGCCACTGATGCGTGCATGTGCCAAGTCAGGGATGACATGGGAGGAGTCTACAAGTTCAAGAGAGGAAAATCCTCCTGGGAGGGGGGGCAAGAGGGGTTTTCTGTCCATGAAAACCGACATTAGATTTTCATGTAACCAGCTTACTACTAAAAGGCTTAGCAAGCTAATCCTTTAACCAAATGAAGTGGCCGGGCCGAGGAATCAAAGAGAGTTAAATGCGTGACTTTCAAACGGTCAAGAGTGCACATTATGTGCCGAGGAACTGCCTGCTATCCAGAGCTGGAATTCCCTTAAACTTCCTTTTAGGTCAACACAGCTTCAATTAGCAAATTACTCTAATTTACTTTAAAACTATCCGAAAGCAGCATTAAATTATGTGGTTGGTTGATTTAGTTTGTTTTTAAAGACAAAATGTTGCCTCCTTTATCACATTTTTTATTTCTAAATGAGTTTTCAGTCAAAACAGAACTGCAGGCAAGACAAGTCTATCACCAACAATCCACTAGACATGGATAGAGATCGTTTTACAAAATAAAACATGAAGTTGCCCGGAAGGTGGACAGTTAATTGGTGAAGCTTGAAGTCAGGTTCACTCTTAGCATAAATGGAGACAAAATGTAGAGATGATCCAAATCGAGATTCGTATTTTAAGAAGACACAGAATTTATTCAAAGGTTCCAAGTTTCGTTACTTGAGAAGACTTTTCCAACAATTTCCTAGCTTATTTGTTGCTCGTACTTTTTGTCAGTCAGTGGCTTCCGTACCGCATCATTCTAAGTAATGTGTGGACTTCCAGAGCAACCCACTCCTCCATCACATTCAAGGCTCGCTACATCGCAGACACCTGGCAGATATCTAACTTACAGAAGAAAGTAGTTAATCCTGGAATTGACACTCTTAAGAGTGTTGATTGTCAATCGATTTGAACTGAGAACTGATTTAAAATCAATTCTTCACCCAGAGAAACAGAATGGAATTGAATCATGCATTGTTGCAAGATTCACACCCCTGCTGAAAAGTGAAAAAATAAGCACATTTTCAGTTGCAGTGATACAAGCAATGTTGCAATATGTTTTGTGTGTAATGTGGGGCATTTGATCTAACTAGAGATGCATTAATGACAACTTTTGTTGTGGATGAATCTGTATTATTTGTTCTTTTTAATATTTCTGTTGCTTTGTTTGCTGTAAATGTGCATCTCTACCTGTTCAGGCCAACTCTCTGAACTAACATTTAAAAAACAAACTCTGATAAACTAATCGAATGTTCAATCAAATGAACTGTGCACAAAGCATTTTTTAACAATACAAACTCATGCAAGCATTAAGGATTAAAATGCAGAAAGGATCTTTGTGACTAAACTGCTTTAGCCCTGATACAGAAACAGATGCACAAGTCTCAGGCTGTAGCGTCATCACCGCTCACTGCAGCCCAACTGCAAATGAATTCCCACAGTCGTGTGACTGTCATGCAGATGTTATTATTGCAATTTAGTTACAAAATGTCTTCATTTGCTGACATTTAATCTAATTTTTTTCTCAGATTTTTTGTACATTCTGGCTAATTGCGACGAGTTTCTGACGGGTTCCAGATGCCTAATGATCACTATAGTTTTAGAGGAAAATTGTTGCACTAATTTTCCAAACTTGTTTATATTACTGTGATATAAGTGGGATGTCACATGAGAAAGAAAAAACTCTTGAATGTGTTAAAACATTTTGGGAACTGTATTGGGTACGTTGCCTGCTGCTTGTCCCCAGGAGTCTCAGCCCAGTGAGAAGCTGGGTTTAATAATGTCCTGACAAACAGAAAAGAACGAGGGTTCTTGTCTCTTTTAGAACATGAAGTTCTCCATCAGTTTTTATAAGCTGTGGTTATGCCAGGTTTTGTCTTTGCATTAAACAGTTATAACCTCCTCTGTGTTGAATGAAAACAGCTTTCCTGCAAGAATTCTCCAAGTGTTCAGTTAAATCTGACGTGTAGCACTACCATTGTTCACAAAATGTGCAAAACCAGCTAAATTTAGCCGCTGAATTTTCGTAAAAGCCTAAATCACACAGGTTGATCCTGAGTCTTCCATCATTTGCATACCGTGGGCTGCATGGTGGCGCAGTTGTTAGCACTGTTGCCTCGCAGTAAAAATGTTGCAGGTTCGAAACTCGGCTGTGGCCTTTCTGCGTGGAGTTGCGTGTTCTCCCCATGCATGCGTGGGTTTCCTCCGGGTACTCCGGTTTCCCCCACAGATCACAACATGCCCTATAGGTTATAAATTGAAAGTCGCTTTGGATAAAAGCGCCTGCCAAATAAATAAACATTAACATACCTGTACAGAAAATAAATGTTTTTTTACAAACATAAATAGCCTCAGTCTTGAGGTATGGCCAATTAAGCAAATTAAATTTCCTATTCACTTGTTTTTACACTGAACAGAACCAAATCTGCCTCTTCACTGTGGATCTCATAAATTGATCCGGCAGAAGCTAACTGAATTACGTTCCACATCTGTTTCTCTTCAGGGCTACAAACAAACACATGCAGTCGGAGGAGCACACCAACAATAAAACACGTTTTACTTCTCAAAAGGACGAACAAATGCTTTTGCAATAACATCTTTTCTTTAATTCTTGACTTCAGGGCAGAGAAAATGCTGCTGCATAGAAAAACAGCACAAAAGGAGATTCGGTAGTTCAGACAGACATGGAAGTCATTTAATATTTGAAATAGTGTCATGCACTCTCTAATCATGTATGTCCGCGGCCTGTCTGTCCAAGCAGCCAATGCATTTAAATCACTCACTCAGCGTGAAAATAACAGCTCCAACCTCTGCTTTCAGCTGTTTAACCCCCACCACCGCCCACACAGCCTGCTGTGGCCTTTGCATCCTCACTTAAATGAGTCTGAGAGAGATAAAAGTCTGAAGTAAAACTGTTACAAAAGCACATCACATGAAGGAAGCAATGATTTTTATCGATGCTGTATGTCACACCCTGTCTTGTCTCCCCGTTCTGTTTAGTCATGTGTCTCTGTTAATTGCTCCCACCTGCCTCTCGTTTTCCAATCACCCAAGCTCCCAAGCCTCATGTATTTAAACCCCTTCAGTCCTGTGTCTCAGGTTGGTTCATTGTTTCAGTAGTCCAGCGTGTTCTTCTCCTCCTCTGGCCTCGTCTCGCCGCAGACACCGTCGCCGAACCCCGGCTGCAACGATCCCCTCCACCCTCCCGGAGCTAGATGTGGGGTTGGATCAGGAGACGCAGCTAGACCGCTCCTGCTACGTGGGCACCAGACTGGTTGTGTGCTCCCCCGGAGCTGACCCACGGCGTTGGGAAGGATGCAGGGCTCCACCGTCACCCCTGGTCCCAGGACGGAGCCGCGAGCTCGCTGCAGCTCCGGCTTGGCGCGCCAGCTTGGACCCGCCCCCAGTCGGACCAGCGGTCCCATCTCCGGTCCATTCAGCGCCTCCGTCATCTGCAGGCGGAGAGACCACGCCTACAGCCCAGCTGACAGAGCTCGCTGGCCTCCAGGCGGAGCTTGGCCGGATCCGTCAGCTCGTCAGCCTCCAGGAGTTCCAGCTGGACACCCTATCCTCCCCGAATTACCAGGAGAAGGTTCCGGTCCAGTCTGCAGCTCCCTCATCTCTTGGCCAAAGGATCGAACCCGCAGTCCACTCAGCAGAGCTTGCCGGTCTCCAAGCTGAGCTGGCCCAACTCCATCAGAGCCTCAGTCACCAGGAGCTCCAGCTGGACAATCTATCCTCCCTGCTCTCCCAGTTTCCGGCACCACCAGTTCAGTCAGCTCCTGTCCCAGCAGTGGACCCGGAGGTCAAACCGCATCCAGTTCCAGCGGTGGTCCCGGAGGTCGCACCGCATCCAGTCCAGCCTGTCCAAGCGGTCCCATCTGTAGCAACTCCTCCTCCACTCCAGAAGCCGGCGGTCCAGAAGCTGACGGTCCAGAAGTAGACGATCCCGGACCAGAAGTCGACGCCCCCACACCAGAAGTCGACTGACCAGAAATCGACGCCCCCGGACCAGAAGTCGACGCTTCTGGACCAGAAGTCAATGGAGGTCGACACCCCCAGTCCTAAAGTCGACGCCCTTTCCAGTCCTGAAGTCGACGCCCTTTCCAGTCCTGAGGTCGACGCTCTCTCCAGTCCAGAGGTCAACGCTCTTTCCAGTCCAGAGGTCGACGCTCTTTCCAGTCCAGAGGTCGACGCTCCTTCATATCCAGAGGTCGACGCTCCTTCGTATACAGGGGTCAACGTTCCCTCGTGTCCAGAGGCCAACGCTCCCTCGTGTCCAGAGGTCAACGTCCCCTCCAGTCCGGAGGTCGACGTCCCCTCCAGTCCGGAGGTCGACGTCGTCGACGTCCCCTCCAGTCCGGAGGTCGACGTCCCCTCCAGTCCGGAGGTCGACGTCCCCTCCAGTCCAACATCTCCGCCGTCTCCAGTCCAGTGGTCGACGTCGTCTCCAGTCCATTGGTCGACGCCGTCTCCAGTCCATTGGTCGACGCCGTCTCCAGTCCCGTGGTCGACGCCATCCCGTGGTCGACGCCGTCTCCAGTCCCGTGGTCTACGCCGTCTCCAGTCCAGTGGTCGACGCCGTATCCAGTCCCGTGGTCGACGCCGTCTCCAGTCCCATGGCCGACGCCGTCTCCAGTCCTGTGGCCGACGCCGTCTCCAGTCCAGTGGCCGACGCCGTCTCCAGTCCAGTGGCCGACGACGCCTCCAGTCCAGAGGTTGTCACCGCCGCCTCCAGTCCAGAAGTCAAGGACGTCTCCTCCGGCGTCTCCGCCTCCAGTCACTGCCAGTCCTGCCCTCATCAGGCGCGGGCCCCCAAGAGCCCGACGATGCCCTTTCCAATCCAGA